TTTGAAGGAGGGTTCAGTAAGGCTTTATTGATAAAAACACACAACGGGAAGGAAGTCATTGCGAAGATGCCCTGTCGGATTGCCGGCCCACCATCCCTTACAACTGCCGCCGAAGTAGGCGCTCTGAAGTATCGTATGTGTCCCCAGAAGGATCACACTTGCATACATATTCTCACACGTTTATTTTTAGTGAGAGAGTATACGAGCATTCCAGTTCCGCGCGTTCTCTCGTGGTCGGCAGATAGTGCAAACCCTGTCGGTGCCGAATATGTCATCATGGAGAAGGCTGAAGGAGTTCCACTGTACCAGCAATGGGGGAAAATGGCAGAAATTGAGAAACTTGAACTCATACGGAACCTTACAAAGCTTGAAGCTCAGTTATCAGCCATCTCGTTTCCCGCGTACGGTGGGCTGTACTATCGAACAAATACAACCCAGTTCAACTCTGAAGTATTGGATGAGACAATCGACTCATCTGGATTGTTCGCTGTTGGACCCTCTTGCGAACGGTCATTCAATACCGACCCTGCCGCCGATGTTCCTTTGCCCGCGGGAGATATCGATCAAGGCCCTTGTAAGTTGAATGACCCGTGAGTTTTGCTCAAGCTGACACTCTATAAAGGGCGTACAATATCAAGCTTCGGTGTATCTATTGTAAAGCGAGAGCTATCTCGAATGAATAATAAGCACCTGAGAGGGGAGTTAATGTTTTATGAAGGAAGTGACGAAGAAAAGGTCCATCTGTTAGAGGCCACAGAGCGTCTCATGCCAGAATTTGACTCCCATCCACTCCTACACCATTCTTCTCAACCCACTTTGTGGCACACCGATCTTCACATGGGCAATATTTTTGTTGCTCCAGATGAAAACTCCCGGATTGTATCCCTGATTGATTTCCAATCGGTATCGGTTCTTCCCTTGTTCCTCCAGGCTCAGTGGCCCGTATTCTTGAAGCCCCCCCAGAACTATACGAAAGGGCTTGTGCAACCAAAGCTTCCCGATGACTTTGATCAATTAGACGACGAGTATCAAGCCATTGCGCGTCAAGAATGGACACAGGCAAAACTGGCGAAAGCGTATGAAGTAGCTACGTTCCTCGAAAACAGAGCTGCACATAATGCCATGAACATACCACGTGTGTTCCGAGAATTTTTTTACGCGCTGCGGTGAGGTCTCTGAGATGGGAATAATCCCACTCAGGGCATGTTTGATTGAGATCTACCAGAATTGGTCAAGTCTAGCCTTCACTGGAGAGTGTCCTTATTCATTCAGTGAAGAAGAAATCGCCCGACACGAACTCCAGTTTTCAGAATACGAAGCTTGGCACGAGGTCCAGAAACTTGCGCAAGAATGCCTTGATACGGATGCAGAAGGGTGGATCTCTCCACTACTAGATATTGAAGAGAAACGCAGACAAAATAAAGAGCTGCTAGCCATGTATACCCAACGCGTGGGCGGAGAAAAGACTCCCGAGGAAGCGAAGGCCATGTGGCCATTCCCGGAAATTGGGTGCTAAGTGTTTAGCTGACATTTTGCTCTATTAGCGATATGAAGTATAAGTGCGGGGTTCGACAAGACTAAGCATATGATTTGACCTGATTATTTATGATAAATTATGACCCACAGCAACCCCACGTTTCATTATCACATCCACTCAAATTTAAAAAATAAAACAACAAAAAACTGTACTTCTAAACCATCGTCTGTTTGGCATACTCTATACTCCATTCTTCTCTCACGCGGTCTCACATCTAGCTTGAAACAATTCCAGATCCAATTAGCACACATGGCCACCCCCCAATCTATGACCCGCGACCAACTGGCATCCCTCGCAAAAAGCTATTTCCAAGCGGTAGACGCCAACGACGTCGACCTCGTACTCTCCCACTTCGCCCCCGACGCCACTCTCACAGTGCAAACCGACCATGTCACGTTCACCGGCCTAGACGAGCTGCGCCAAATGTTCTCCGGCTTCATCACCAACTCCAAGCAAATGCTGCATGAGGTCAAGAGCATTGTCGCCGACGAGAAGACCGGAAAGGTCGCTACCCAGCAGTACTTCACGGGGGAGTCACTGGAGGGCACGCAGAGCGAAATGCTCAATTGCAATTTCTTCGATGTAAACGCCGACGGGAAGTTCTCGCGAGTGGTCATTTGGATGGCTGGGAAGAATCCGTTGAAGTAGGGCTTTCTCGGACTTTACTGGCCTGTTTGGTTGTACTTATATGGGCATGGACATTCACTCAAAGCCGGAGGTAGAAGAGTTCATGACTGAATTTTACCATTAAGACATCTAGCTTGAAGACGCAGCATTCGAATACACAACTTGAAACTCCGTAGTCTGCACAACGCTATCTTTGTTCCCGGACATAAACTCCGGTAAACTACCGTATGACCTCGCGCTATGGCTCGTACTAGTTATTGTATTCGTCCTGGCCTGTCGTCTGGCCGTGTCGATGTCGTTGAAATCTGCCAGGGGCTTGGCCCCGCTGCCGTGGGTGTACTGGTCTTCCAGCTCGTAGGCGCGCTTATTGGTGAAACCGGTACTGCCCAACCAGACCTTGAACAGGGAGCGCATTGCCGGGACAGATGCGCAAATGAGACACATGTTTATCTCCAGACAGGTGGTGAGCTCCGCGGCGGACCAGTTCCTTGGTTGAGTATAGCGTCAGATATTTCCAAAGGCATAATGAGGAGGAACAGTATCATGCTCACCATTGGAAGTCCCTAGAATCCAGGGCCATGAAAGTTGTGATTTGTCGGGCGATCGAGGCGCAGATGGTTAGGATCCCGATCCCGAAGACGATGATCAGTCCGACTGTTTCGGTTCGACTTAGTATGTTTTTCATGGTTTCTAGGACTCAGGCTGGCTCACCCTTCCGTCGACTGTTGACTTGTAGCTTCTTCACAATGGGTATGGGGAGGAGGGCCAGCAGAATGTCTGTGATGATGTGGAAAGCCCCGTTGAAGTAGTTGAAGCTCATCAGGTCAAGGCATCCTCGCGGGAACTTCGGATTCCATAGAATAGATATCGGCTGGCAGATGAACGATGCCACCTGGGCTGTTAGCAGGGGCGGTTCATGATCGGGTGCGTGAACGTACAAGAGTCGCGGCAATCCCGTGGCCCATGATTATCGCCCCGATGCCGTATAAGAATATGATGTGGGTTTTGTCTGTTGCTAGTCGGAGGTAAAGCGCAACCATGCTGCATTTTGCCAGTCTGGTATTTGAAGGCTGTTGTCAGCCACGTTTTATATTCGTATCGGAGGAATAGGGTGCGGTACCCGAGACTGATAAAGTAGACAACCTGCGATATCCATGCCCACTAATATGTATCAGCTCCGCTCTGTCAGGTACTCGGTAGAACTGACCTTTCGCGTGCATTCTTGCTCTGGCTCCGTCAAGTCCCTGAGATGTCGGCCAACTCCGCACTCGTACATCTTCGGCACGGTAGCCACCTCCACGATTGAAGTTAACTGCGGGCCAGTCAGCGCTGCCACCAGATATTGCACAATCGGGACAAACTTGCCGCAGCGAGAATGATCAACACATCGTCAGCTCCCAGCTTGCCCAGGAGGAACCGTCGTGCGTACAAGCTACACACTCACCTCAGCCCTATTAGCAAAGCCCACTTCCCAGTCTCCCGGTAACAACATACCGCGTACCAACCACAACCATAGCCACGCCAAATGTGATATAGCTGCCAATCTGCAGGTCCTGCTGCGACCCCGGCTCAATGGAGACCATTCTGGCCGATAAGCTATCACATGAAAACCAAGAACCCGTTCCACGAGGGTACGGTAGGTGGACTTGAAAGTGTTCCCCGGCCCGCGGGCGCCCCATATCTCTTATACCAACGGCTCATTGTTCCTGCCGATAAAGGCCGCCGAACTCGGAAACATTCCGGTCGGTTGCAGTCTGTACTTGAGGAACTGGGGTGCCCGCTTATATTGACCCGTTCTTTGAGCCATGGATTCATGACCGTAAGGGATCCGGGGGTATGCTCGAACAGGCATTATCGTATCAAATAGATTAAGCCCCGTTTCTTTATCCGGTTGCCAACAGATACACTAACGGTGTCACCGACATATATCACCTCCCCTCCCCTCTCACTCTTTGCACATTCATAACCAATCACCTCACTATTCTACTCCATCTACTCAAATCTACCTACCCTTCCACACAGAGAGAATCATCTCCACTCCACCCAGCAGGCAAGGCACGGAGCACCGTCGGCTAGAACAACCACCCCTGCACCCAGCACAAGCAATCAAGCGCGAAGGATCACACGGAGACCCTCGTGGCAAACTCTATAGCCCCGTGACGCACGTTGTCCCATAGCTTCGGAAGTTTGTCCACATTTGTGACTAAATCACCGGTGTCGTTGGGTGCGGTTACCTCGGGGATACACTGGAGTAACTTGTACCAGGGTAGTCCACATAAGCCTTCCGTAAGCTTATCAGGGGCGTTTGCTTGGCTATCCAGGTGTCTGTATTTATATAAGATCGACGGGACCCGCGAGCGGTCGTCCTTGGGATACGCCAGGGTCTTGGGTTTGTGGCGTGTGCTACTGCATTTATTGACTAAGTGTGTTTATGAAGGTTTGGGTTGGGATTGAGGATCCAGTAAGTGTAAGTGTTCTAGTATGTGGGATTGTGGATGTAATTGTATTCCAATGTGTCAAGGGGATTAGAGGGAAATACTCTTCCTTGTCCTTTAGCAAACAGAGCCAGTAGAAAACTACTTGGTGAGAGACAACAGATAGGTACAAGCAAGTACTAGAACCAACACCCGGTCAGAGCGTCTCGATAGTTCCTCGAACACGAGATATAGTGAAACGTGGATTAGAGAGTTCAAACCAAACAGCCGAGGTATCACATTTATCCTTCCACAAGCACCGAAAAGGAAAAGAAAAAAAAAAAAAAAACATAATTCTCCGACACTTTCCCGAACCTCGCAGAACAAAAAAAAACTAAGAGTGACGAAAAACAAAAAAGAAACGACCGAGACGCGACTCGAACGCGCAACCACTGCCATATTCCAGTAACCGGAAGGCAGCGCGCTACCATTGCGCCACCCGGCCGTTGTTGATATCTTTGGCACTTTTCTAGCATATATAGCTCGTTTAATCATTCGAAAGCCTGACTGTTCATGCCCTACTTTGGATGCGCTTTGGGTGCTACTTAGTAGGGAATGCTTCGTGGGCGGAGATAAGGTTTTATGAGGGGTTTGTATTATGAGTTTGAACGGAATGAGGTGGATTGGGTGTTTTTTTTTGCTGTGTTGTTTACAGCTCTGGTGTTCTAACTGTGTGATATATATCTGCGGGTGGTTGTACGCAGTTATTACGACGCCATATAATGAGCATATTTTTGGTAGTACCTTTTCTTTCAATTTCTTCAGACTATGGCACATCACAAGTCCCGATCAATTACTAATACTTTGATTACACCAGAAGGACTACAATACTGTTCGAGATACCCGTCGGTATGAACTGTCGGAAATGGGTCGAGGAAACAGCTGGACCCTGTGAATAGACAAGGTCATTACTGAGAAGTCATTGTTATACATCTTACCGAATATAAACATAAACCTATGGCAAGTGTAAAATCCACATTGTGACGGAGCGATTAAGTTGGCCGGAAGGGTTCATCCCCATTAATCTCATCTATTATATCCATAAAGTACAATACCGTTCGTAAATTCGTAAAACCGTCGTTGTTGCTTCGCTGGCTAAGTGGTAGGGTTACAAATGTGTGACCTGCTTGTTGACTAGAGACTCCCCTCCAGAAAGCCTTCCCATGACAGCTCAAGCTCGGAAGGTGCTGGGCGTGAAGACGCACCTGTCGTGCGTGGTTCCTGCAATAGTGAGCTATGGCCCGTTACAGAGCCCGGCTCAACATTCAGAACTACTTCCGCTTCCTGACGTAGAGCGGCCACCCATCTGGGATCATCGGCATACGTCTGATCCCATGGGTCGTTACTCCCGTACGCGATCTGACGAGCGTGGTCTTGGACCATCTGATCAGTGGGCTGTATTCCCTTTAACATCTGATCACGGATATAGTCGATGAGATCGCGCTTCAAGTTGGTATAGCGATTGAGAGCATTGGGAACATCCATGACAGTCGGTAAAATTTTATCCCCGCCAGTGCCCAGCGCGTCTGTCGTCCTCCAGGGATCCATGGTTAACCGCTCATGACCGACTAGATAAGCAGGCATGGCGTTTTCCACCAAGTCCTGGATATCGGGGTCAAATCCCCAACCCCCCCTCCACTGGATCATATCTGCACCTGTTTTGAAATGACCTGCCAAGTGCTCTACTCGCTCCTCCCAAGTGTGTAACTGTGCATCGCAGAAGCCACATCGCGACTCAAGGCGGGTCCTTGCCTCACGCCATTTGTCCATGGAAGGATGATAGCCCACACAGTGAGTCAATCTAAGATGCTGTCGAAGGTGGTCTTTTCGAGAGAATGTTCGTTGTGCAAAAGGTTTTCCGTGGCAGACATGATAGTTGTGCGATTCAAGATGAAGGGTGTCAGCGTCGGGTGCCTGGCAATATGCGCAAAGCTTCATTCCGTCGACCTCAACAATTCCGCCCTGCGGAGCGCAAACCCACCGATCAATAGATAGGTGCAATGACTTTTCGTGTCGCTGCCAGTCATACTTGGTTAAGAATGTGTCGGAACAAAATGTGCATTGATATGGTCGCTGGGACTGAGTTTTCCGTTTACTTAGAGCCTCCGTCGGATGAGGGGGCTTCCGGCGAAAGCGACGAGGTTTCGTGTGGATCGGCGTAGGAGGCCTCTGAAAGGGTCGACTAGGAGGCCCCGCTGACAATTCAGAGCTCGATGCCTGGCTGTGTTCATAGCTGCTCATAGAGGGCGCGCCGAATACAAAAGAAGCACTGGAACTATTGCTCGACACTGCGTCCAGAGGCATAGTACGCATCGCACCACTGTCCGAAGAATAGGGAACATCATCGAGCGCTCTCAAGATATCGGATGTCGCAGCAGGCTCACTTTCAGGAGGGGAGTTTTTCCAACGCTCGAGAGGTGATACTAGCGAGTTATCCGCACTGTTAGCTTCTGGGCTGGGATCGCCGGTGAGTAGTCTACGTCGACGAGCGTTAGTGAACCAATTGGAAATTTGAGACATCTCCAGCCCAGTCTGCTGTCGTAACTGATCCCTCTCTTGCTCGGTGGGAAAAGGATAATCGTGGTGTTGATAAAACCATGTTTCAAGGGTTTTGGTTTGGCTTGTGGACAATCGACGGTATCGTTTTCTGGCCTTTCCTTTTCTATTGAGATTCGTATTAGAATCCACGGATGACATCGATTCGTAGTTGTCGAGGGAAGAGTTCGCTTGAGAGTAAGGTATAGATGATGGTCCCGGGCTTATTCTACCGGGAGCATCGGTGCCGCTGTTTGTTAGCCAACAGAAGCAAGTGCCGACAAAGTGATTTGCGCCATCGCAGTTCTCTAGCGGCACGGTAGTTGGGTGGAATGCAGACACCTGATGTCCCAAATTACCTAATGGCTGGCTGGAAGAAGGATGTGCTGCAATGCCAGGACCTGCGTCCAAGGGTGGTAATAAAAGGACGTCATCGCAAATCTTAGACGATTCACTACTGCTGCGCTCCATTCGAATACGAAATTAATTAACCCAGCCTCTGATTTTCGCGCTTTGGTTTACACCAGCGTCAAAATTCCGAGCACAAAGTGAAATATCCTTGGATAAGTCATTAGAGTCATCGAGAAAGGTCGGGGATCTCTCTGTGGGTCTTCAATGTGTTTTCTGTGACTGGGAGACTGTTTAGTTGGCTGCATTGAGTAAGCCACTACGCCCTGTGTCTTGGGATGGGATCCACTCGACCCAACGTTAATGTTCCCCGAAGATAACCGCCTTCTATCAGAGTTGAACCTGATTTATTTTTTGGGAACAGCTTCTCCAGGTAGTTCTCGATCAATGTGAGAGTGTTTTAGCCAACTCAAGGCTGCCGAGCTACCCAGGAAGCTATTTATGTGTTCATGGTAGGATCTTGCCAAGCAAAATTATGCTTTTGCCCTAAATGAATTTTATAGTAACTTCAATAAAAAATTTTCTTATCCACTTTAACTAAATGCTAAAAGAAGTAGAACCAATTCTATTGTAGCATAATTTCTCTCATTAACAACCATTAGACGAATCCCTTTCGTCCTCTTACTAAAATCGAGCTATACTTCCAGGGCTAAACTACCTCTCGAAGGTCAGGCTGATCATAGTAGGGCATTGACAGCATGTCCAATACCAAGGGCATTTCAACAGGAGTCGAGTTACAGCAGAGTGGCCAAATTGGTGATCGACTGAACAAATCTCCCGGTGAGGATACCGCAACACCACCAGATCCCGATGAAGTAATTCAGGCTTCCCTCTTAGCCGACGCGGAAGTCCCCGACGGAGGCTATGGCTGGATCGTCATCTTTGGCTGTGCGGTCTTTACCTGGTGGTTCATCGGCACAGCTTACTGCTGGGGAATTCTTCAGGCGGCCCTAGTGAAGAATGGTGTTTCCTCGTCCTCAACGTTGTCCTTCGTTGGCTCGCTTGCTCCAGCCTGTATATCATTCTTGGGCATCCTCAATGCGAACATCATCCGGAAGATAGGCACAAGGATATCGGCTCTCCTGGGAATATTCCTTCTAGGCCTGGGCGAAGTCCTGAGTGGCTTCGTCACCAGCAACATCGGCGGGCTATTCGCTACAGCGGGGGTGGTAATGGGAATTGGAATCAGGTAAGCATGTGTCTATAGTCGTTACCATCGCATTGCGCCTGAGCTGATTGTGTAAGTCTCTGTTTCATGGTAGTTTCGGCGGTTCCAGCGCAGTATTTCAAGACGAAACGTGGCATTGCTAATGGAATTGTCTACGCCGCGGGCGGTCTCGGCGGTGCCATCACCAGCTTTATCATGAATGCATTAATCGACAAAGTAGGGATCGCATGGACCTTTCGCATCATCGGATTCATGACATGGGGCACAGGCTTACCCACCGCCTGGCTGATCAAACAACGGGTACCCATTCGCCGCACAGCATTCGTCGAATGGTAAGGCCCCCTTTAATCAACAATGGGATCAATCGCAGATTAACGGATACCAGGCGTCTCTTCCGCGACATCAGATTCACACTCCTTTTCGCCGCAGGGGCCATCGCAACCTTCCCGCTTCTTGTGCCCCCGTTCTTCCTACCCCTATACACCGAATCACTGGGCATGTCATCCAGCGCCGGGGCCGGAGTGGTAGCCGCGTTCAACTTTGCCTCCGCGATGGGCCGACTCCTATGCGGCTTCTGCAGTGACTACGTCGGCCCGCTGAACACCCTGTTCGTGTCCCTCCTGCTCAGCGCGCTGAGCATGCTGATCCTGTGGCCTGTCTCGACCTCCCTCGGACCGCTGATCGTGTTCGTCATCATCAACGGCATGGCGAACGGGGGATTTTTCTCCACGATCCCCACCGTCGTGGGGAATGTGTTCGGGTCCGCTCGCGTCTCTGTCGCAATGGGTATGATTGTAACCGGCTGGGCCGGGGGTTATCTATTAGTGCGTCATTTTCTTTCTTTCTTTTTTTATCGCTTCCAGTCTAATTATCTATATACTGTATGCTGATGAATGAAACAGGGGGCTCCGATCGCCGGGTACATCTTGAATGCTTCTGGCGGCGAGGACGGCGGCGTGGTGGCGTACCGTCCTGCCATATTCTATGCGGGCGGAATGGCCATGAGCGCGACTATCATGGCTATGTTCATTCGGTTGAAGACGGATACTCGGCCGTTGAAGAAGCTCTGAATGTGGTCTTGCTTGGGCGGAAGTGGAAGCTGGGCGCTTAGATTAAAGCATGCAAGGGACCCTCGGATTGTACAACATGATTAGATTATGTTGAAACTATAATAAAGCCACGTTTATGCTTAATTTATACCTCCTGGCTTAGAATACTCCGGCTCACGAGTACTTGATGCAGGGTTAAAGGTCAAGCACAGACCAAGTGCTCGCAGCTTCCAGGTGGGGCTCGGTCTCGCAGATGGTAGATGGACGATATTGTAATTTAAAATC